AGCATTATATATCCGTGTCATCCTTGCACAAGGGCCATGCTAAGTGTTCCAGTTTAAAATGATGTCCCGAGGACAAGCGGTCTGGATTTTTACATTATGCACGTGAGAGCAAGTGTACCAGCCATGCAATTAGTTTATCTGCTCTTGTGATGGGTATCTTTGAAGAATCTTGCTGATATGTCACATGATCTCTGTGAAGGGTATAAGATTTGCAAGCAAATAGTTGGACTTGTTTGGACTCTGTTGTGCATGTCTCTCCTCGGGCTCATTGACTAGAGCTGTACTGTAAAGGGGACTTGATGCAATGTATAATCCATCAATCAATGAGAGTGACCTTTGGCTTTGGTGGGGTGCACGCAGATTGTTTCTCACTGCTGCTGCCTCCTTTGCAACAGGTAAAATGATCACAAGAGAATCGAAACGAAAGATTCAAGACCACTTTTTAGGAGGGAATGTTTTTCTTTGAAGGGAAATTTCCTTCAACACACACACACACACAAAGTAAAGGAAAAGACGTTGCAAGGGCGGGCGGGCAGTAGAAACGCATAGATAGGAAGGAGAGTTAGTAATACGTGCCATGAGTGTTGAGTATACTTGCTGTGTTGGTGAACGTATGCCACAAATGCCGGTTATAAACGTCGGTTATAAATGTCTGCTATCGTTTTGTTATTAATGTTTGTTTGCCTGTTTGTGTCGTGCAGGTTCTCTCATGATTCAGGCGGCACGGGTGGAGGCTACTAGAGCTTGGTTGTGGAGTCTATCCTGATGTTTGCAAGGGAACATGCGAATTGTGTGCACCTTGCTTTCGTCGCTCGTGTGCTGTCTCCTCGATGATTGTCTGATCAGCGGTGGGTATTATGCATCCTTGAACTTAGTCGTCTATGCATATCACTGGGAGCTTAACGCAGGTAAAGGTAGTGTACTAGCATCGCCGGAAAGTCAGCCAATGTGGTGTACAATTCAGGAATTCATTCTCTGATTCCGATGCTACTGACGGGCTTACTTAGGCGCACCGGGGAAGTTGCTTGATGCTGCAATGAATCATCTGTTCATCAAGTGGGGTCCATGAGGGGAAAAGGTTCTTGGTTGGGACTCGGGAGGAGTTGTAGGGAAAAGAGTCCAGGTGCGTGGTTCAGATAGGATAGAAGAAAGGGGGCGTGCGCAGGCCCTAGAACAAAGTCTCTGATTTTGATTTTTGTCCGCTTTCTCGTAGCGGAATAGATCTACCATTTCTTGTCCTGTGGTTGTGTCCATTATGAACCAGATCAGATGGCTTCTTCTCGGTGATAGGTGTTAGTGAGCTGCAATTTTGGAAAGGTGCAGGGGGCTCTCCGTGCCACTTAGTCATATTTTGGTGACGGCCACGTGGGTGAGTCTGACTGCTACTAGATGGCTTCTTCTCAGTGAGAGGTGTTGAGTGAGCTGCAATTTTGAACAGGTGCCGTAGGGTCTCCAAGCCAAATAGTCAAATTGCCGGTGACCGCCATGTGGGTGCGGCTAATTGGCATCACTAGGTCATGACTCGCTCCCCAAAATGTGAGAAATCGGGGCGTCATTATGGTTTTCCATTTGGGTCAGCGTTTGCCTGATTTATTGTGGATCACTTTGAGATAGGCAAATTGAAGCCTTATTGTGGATCACTGTAAGAGGAAAGAAATGTTGGATGGGTACGATGTAGACAGGGGAGAGAGAGAGAGAGAGAGAGAGAGAGAGAGAGAGAGATGGGGAAGTTGATGTGTGGGGCAGGGAAATGACAATGGTCTGTGAGTCCCTTTTGAAATGTCTTCTGGCCGATTCTTGGGTGCAGTGTCCTCTTTTTATGTGATTACAATTTGTTGAGTATCGTCTTTTTGCCAAGATACGTTTCGGGGTCCTTGATGGATCCTTTGGATTTTCATGCTTATGTCTGAGTGGAAGAGGAGTTGATGTCATGGAGTAGGAGTATGCTGAAGGTTATCCTGACATGTTTGAGCGGCAACTGGAAAGAGTCCTTGGGCAGGTGCGTAAGTGCATGCTGTCACTGGCACATCAAGGTTAATGTCAGGTGTTGATAGCCATCGCATTTTGTTTGTGCCTATTTTTTTTATTTTTTTTTAAATTGCTTCGGCTGCTTCATCGCATTTTGTGTGTGCATCTCATGGTTTCAGTTCTATGCATGGAATGAATGAAACAACACTGTCTATATGGGAGCTGTTGGTCGATAGGCGTCATCTGTCTGTCTACATCTTCACTAAAGCCCTGATAAATGCCATTACTTACCAGTGTCTTGTTTGCCTGAGCTGCTGGCTGCCGGTGCATCCCGTTCTCTGGGAACTACAGTATCAAAGCGTCGAGTACGTGTCCACCTCGGCATAAGATGCACCTATGGCGTTTTATTCCTTCCTTAGCGGTATTCCTTTTGGCTGATGCTGAATAGTAGGGGGTCTATCTTCAAGGCTTTGAAGTCAGGGCATTAGACCACGGGAAGAGACAGCAGGCGTCAATGTGCATCCTCTTTCATTTATTAGGATGATGATGGCAGTGTGTTCGATGGCGAGCTTTGCCGCCTCCATGTGGTCAGCTTGCGTTCAGAAATGAGGTACGTAGTATCTGGTTTGTGAGTCCCAGAGCACCAAAATGATTCCTTCGCCTCCGCTGTTTTCTGTTTCTGAGCGCCTGCAATGGTTTTAGCCCATGGACGTTTATCGATAACCTTTCGAAAAAAAAAATCTTCAGCACTGAAGAGGTCAGTAGTATCTGACTGGCTTAATAAGATCAAATGGCAGTGCCGCTGGTCTGCTGAGGTAAATTGGGCCAATTTATGTATAGGTTCCAATCCCCTTGTGTGCTGAATGAATGTATGCTGACCCAGGCAGGGGAAGGGAGACCAATTTTCAGACTGAAATACTCTGTTCCTATGGGTAGGTGATGGGCCTTTTGTGACTCTGAAAACGAAGCTTGGAATAGTGGCATGCAGATGATGAGCTCTTTGAGGGAATGCCTTTCTGCTATGCAATTTCCCTGTTTTAAGCCAGAGTTGTTCTCTTGTTGCTTTTTTATTTAATTACCTGTGCGAGCTTCCCTCCTTCAGAAATGCGGTCTTATACTATCGGGCTGTAAAAAAAGGTTGGCGTGCTGGTTGTTGGGGTGGCATCCAGAAATTGGAGTCCCCTAACTTTGCCATTTTTTTTCTTGTGTCGTTCGATGAAAACATTGGAGAAGCATCACGGATCGGGGGTAGTCCTCTCTATAAGAGGGGAAAAAATATTTAATAAAAGAATGCCCCTACCAAACGTGTCAGTGCCAAACTGAATGCGTTTGTTTGGCCTGGACTGTCCCTGGCCTTTGTTCTGCCGGGCCGTTGGCAACCTGGCTGGTAGCTCAGTTTTCTCTTTTTTTGTTTGGGTAAGCCAGTCTCTCAACCCTTATGGGAGCCACTCCCCCTCAGCTCGTCGATTTTCCCAGGTGCACCTCCACTCCCCCTGTACTATGTCAGTGTCTACCACACAGGACTCTCACCCTCTGCCATCTTGGCAGAACGATCTGACTGGGGGCCTGTTGAAGGCACGATTGAACAGGGACGCTGCTCGGAAGGGGTAGAGGCATATGGTGCTCAGCTTTTTTGTGCATTGGTACTGCGGCGGGGACGAGGTCAAGGCGTTGTCTTTACAAAACCTACGGGTAGATCCTGAATGCCTCCCCACTTTACCTGGGCTCCCCAGTGTATAGATCTAATTGTGCACACCCTAGATACCACAGGCAGTGTCTAATGCCCCCATTCCCCCTGCCCCCCCGTCCTCCCACCCGCCTTCAACCTGTTGAGCAAACCAAGTATGCTCACCTAGCACAGCTGTTATCAGTTCTGTTCTGGCCACGATTTCAATACAACCCAGAGGCATTCTAGTCATCAGTAGGTGCATCGCCACCATCCGATCCAACTAGACCTCTCTCCAGTTGTGTGTAAGTCTGCTGCTAAGTGTTGTAGCTCGGGTTTGAACCCGTGCACGGATTTGAGAAACCCAACCGCCTGATGAGATAACCGTTGTACTGCTGTCACTCTAGTCATTGTTGGCTGTATGTCGTCTGGAGGTACCTAGCTGCTTTCATCTGCACGTACATGGCCACCATCCATCCCTACACCTCGGTCTTCAACTAGACCCCTCCAGCCCTTGTAGTTGGACCCGTCATTTTCCGGAGTTGCTCCAATCTTTTAGTCATCGGCAGGTGTCATCAACTGGGCCGACTATTGACTATTTGTCATGGGAAGCAGACAGTCCATCTGCTAAGGTTCTACCCATCAACCATCCCACCTGCAGCCCTTGCCCCCCTCCCCCCTCCCCCCTCTCAAACTGGGTCTCCAAGGTAACCCGCTACATGATCATCCCCCCGTCAACCATCCCACCTGCACCCCTCCAAAGCAGATGTCATAAGGTAGCCAACTACTTTATCATCCACTCCAATCGGACGTACCCGTTCCGTTCCTGAATGTGCTCCAGCTATATTTGTAGTATGTTATGCGTAAAGGGCGGATCAGGATTGAATCCTGGACCTCTCCCTTGCAGCGGCCTAGCCCAAGCCACTGATCTATTACATCCGATGGTTTGTTTATGTGCTATACTGTGCTGCGCGCCAGGTATGCGGGGTGCCATCCTAGCACCAACCAACTTAACTTGCACAGGGGAGCTTTAAGGGCTGATGGAAGTGGACCCTCCGCCTCACAGATGCAACACCATAGCTTCAGCCCACTGAGCTACAGCGCGTATCCCCCTTCCTGCCCCCTTCCTGCCTTGTGTTTTCTTTGCCTCTGGTGTAGTGTTAAACTCTTCCGGTTTTCTTTTTCCGATGTCCGTGTTCCCCTCTCATCACATCGCTTTGGTTTGTCTTTTCCTTTTTGAGAACACACTTTTTCGCATCTCTCCACAGACGCACTCCGATTCAGGCGTGAAATCCAATGCTAGAGAGAGAGAGAGAGAGAGAGAGAGAGAGAGGGGCAAGGCCGTGACGTGGGCGATTCCTGTGAGAGAGACAGAGCTCTCTCTCTCTCTCTAAGCGTGTTTGATTTTATCCTGTCACGTCTTATTGTCCTACTGTCTGTGAATGTTCGAAGGGATAGACAATCGCGGGCACAACTGGCTGCGGGTCAAAAAATACTACATCCCGGGTGCGGGTGGGCCATGATTTTCTTGCGGGTGCGGGTCGGTCTGGGTGAACCTTTTTTACTGGTGGCGGGTGGGTTGGGCATGGGCGGAAAAATTCAAAAAAGTGCTTGGGTGGGTTGGATCAGCTTCAAACCTTTTTTTTCTTCTTTTTTAAAGGGTTGCATGTACTAAGAAAATTTTGGGTGGGTTGGGTGAAGTGGCATTTCAAAAGAAAAATGCTCATCTCTGCTGTAGAGAGGCATACCAATTGTGTTTTGGGTGCGCGTAGAGTCGCGGTCAAGTTGTATGATGGTACGAAACTGGGTATACGGACTCTGGAGCCTTCGATGATGGAAGGAAACTGGGTTACGAAGAATGTGTGCGGGGCCCGTATGCTGCATTTGCAGAAGGGTAGGGAGGTATGGAATCCACGTTAGCAGTCTGTAGTCTTGCATCAGCCTCGTGTGCACGCTGGCAGTTGTAGCCACTTCAGAGGACCTTGCCCCTTGTGCTTTGTGTGCGCGGTCTTCTGTATTCAACCTCCTATACGAGGATCTGAAGAAGTCTGCTGGAAATTCACAAAATGCTTTTGGGTGTAGTGCAGTCAGACTCGTTTTCAAACACACTTTTCATGCATGTAAACAGCAACGCAGCATACTGGCGACATGCGCCCACTCAAAACTCAGAGATATGGCTTTCAGATACGAGTTCACTCTCAATTGGCTATGGCGACTTCAGCGCCCAAACATCTCACTGTTCACATACACTGGATCAACTCGTTGGTCTGCTCTTTGCCATCGGCCCTTGGTGCTTACAGTCCCCCTGTGGTACTTGCTGGACCGGACTGGGACTGACTGGACCTTGACTGACTGTGGACTCACCGCTATCCTACCGCCGTTGCACTGCTGTTGCACTGCGGTTTAGTCCACCACTTGCCTCACCACTTGCCCACTTGCCCACTTGCCTACCTTCTAGAAGGTCTACAGCTAAGCTTCCAGAACTCACTAAGACTCCTACGCTATAGACCTACAGATCGAACCCCTGAAGGTCTACAGCTAAGCTTCCAGAACTCACTAAGACTCCTACGCTATAGACCTACAGATCGAACCCCTGCTGTCTATGGACCTACGACAGGTCTACCAACTGCCTATGAATACACAGGTCGCAGGTTCAATTCTCGGGGTCTACACAGATACTGTACATGGGTAGGGTGAGGTCTAGGGATCGAAMCCTGGGTACTGCRTCCGCTACTGCTAAAAGGTGAAAACCGTTTCACTCCCGCCGTCCTAAATTCGAGGTCCTCCGAGAAAATTTTAGTCCAAGGCAGGACCTTTACCTTTCTTGTCACGCTCATAGGCCCTGACTATGTCGGGAGCGGTCTTTAGAAGTTCTGCTTTCGTGAACCAGCGGTCGTCTTCCGGTTCCTGATAAGCAAACCGGACCTTATACTGTTTCTGGGGACGACCTCTACCTCCTGTCCTAAACACATCCTCTTCTACAATGCCCTCTATGTCATAGCTTCCATCCATATCCGGTGGAATCATGGATCTCCTGGAAGGGAACTGTTGACTAGTGATACACGGCAGCAGCTTTGAAGCATGAAACACAGGGTATGTGTGGAGGTGTGCTGGAATCTCAATGCTATAGGACGGTCCATCCTCTCCGCCCTTGACTTATAGAACCGGCCACGGTCCTCTATATGCAGGCAGTAACTTCTGCGAGATGTTTTCTTCCGGTGCAAACTCTTTTGCCTTGACCCAGACTAAGTCGCCTACTTGAAACTGTGATGGGCGACGGTGTTTGTTAGCCTGCTCTATCATTCTGTGCTGGGCCTTCTGTAGGTTCTCAACAACAGTGGCTAATTCCTTTTCGTGCTGTATYGCAAACTCCCTGGTACCGGGCGGTAATCTGTGAATCTGATCCCGGTTCAGTCCTTCGAACGGTCTGCGTGGTCTAAAGGACTTGTGCAGTTCATTGGGAGTGCGGCAGGTGGATAGGTGCATGCTGTTGTTGTATGCACTAGCGACCTTGGGCAACATCTCATCCCAGTTGATTTGATCTGGTCTAATGTACATGTGCAGAACTTGCTCTAGGATCTTGTTCATTTGTTCTGTCTGACCGTTAGTCTCTTGGTGACGGCCGGACGACATTAACAACTTGGATCCGTAGACTCTCATGAGTTCTTGCCAGTTCTGGCTGGTGAAACGACTATCTCTATCACTAACTAATGACAATGGGATACCATTCTCACTAACCCAAAAGTCAAAGAACTTCTGTATTACTAAATCTGTACGTGCCTCTGCTGGCAAGGGAACAAAAATTGCATACTTACTAAAACGGTCGACTATGACCATGACTTGGCTCTTACCATGTCTACTCTTGACTTGCGTGTCCATGAAGTCTATAGACACTGAGTCTCCCGGCTGATCCGAAATAGGCAAGGGCCTGAGAAGACCTAAGGGCGCGCGTGTAGTAGACTTATTTCTCTGGCACACTTTACAACTGCGGCCATACTCTATGCAGTCATTCTTCATCCCTGGCCAGGTATACGCACGCATCAGGTTGGCTAATGTCTTTTGCCAACCGAAATGCCCTTCAGTATCGTGGCATTCCCCTAAAACCAAACTGCGGATCTCTTCGCTGTTGGGAACGCACAGGCGGTCAAATACATTAGTCTTCTCAAACAACAACCCGTTTGTAGTGCGGTAATCTGGTTCAGTCTCTGGGGCCTCTCGAACTCTTTTTAGGAGATCGCTATAGATAGGGTCCTACGCATATGCTTGCCTCACTTTCTCCTGCAGGGCTCTCCCTATATCCAGATAGTGTACTACAACTCCAAAGTAGTCTGATCTCCTACTTAGAGCATCCGCAACTACGTTGTACTTGCCCTTCACTGGCTTGAGCTCAAAGTCGAATTGGTCTCTCTGCGGCCCACCTAGTCAACTTGGGTGTCATCTTGGCCCGAGTCTTTAACCATCTAAGTGTTTCGTGGTCCGAATACACTTTGAAGTGCCTCCCAAGCAGATAGTGCTTCCAATGGTCTAAAGCCTTCCTGAGAGCGTAGAGTTCCCTCTCGTACGTGGAGGTAGCGACCTTCTCACAGGGAATCCTCGCGGACATGAACTCTACGGGTCTATAGCCATTGCCGTCGTCTTGCTGCAACACGGCGCCTATCCCATACTGACTCGCGTCCGTGGTGACGACAAATGGCAAAGACGGAATGTAACTTTGAGGACAGGATATTCTATTAACGCTCGCTTTAGCTTCTTGAGCGCAGACGTACACTCTTTGTCCCATTGCCAGATTGCCTCTTTCTTCACCAACTTGTGCAAGGGAGTGACGATAGTAGAGAAGTTCCTTACGAACTTCCTATAGTAGTTAGCTAAGCCTAGTAACGATCGCAACTCTGTCAATGTATGGGGCGTCAGCCAATCTCTGATAGCGTGATCTTGCTGTCCTCTGGCTTAATGCCATCTCCGTCCAACACGTGGCCCAAGTATAAGACTTGCGTCTTGGCCCACTCACACTTCTTCGCRTTGATCTTGAAGTTAGCCTCTCTAAGCTTCTCCAAGACCTGCCTCAGATGACCCTGGTGCTCCTGAAGGGTCTTACTAAAGACTAGGATATCATCTAAGTAGACTACTACAAATTTATCTAACCATGGTCTAAACAGGTCATTCATACAACGCTGAAAAGTAGCTGGCGCGTTGGTTAGTCCAAAGGGCATCACTATAAACTCATAATGCCCATATCTAGTCCGGAACGTAGTCTTGTATTGATCATCAGGATGAACCTCTATCTGATGGTATCCGGACTTCAAGTCTATCTTAGAGAAATACTTGCAACCGTGCACCCGATCTAAAAGATCGTCTATCCTGGGCAGCGGCTCAGCATTCTTCACGGTGATCGCATTTAATCCCCTATAGTCTATACACATTCTCAGCTCTCCTTCCTTTTTGGGGACAAACAAAACGGGTGCTCCAAAAGGAGACGAAYTGGGCCTAATCCACCCTTTCTCAAGGAGTTCGTCTAACTGCTTGCGAAGCTCCTCTAGGGGACATCCTGTAGACTGCACCCTTAGGTGTTCTACTGTCAGGCTCTATCTCTATCCTATGCTGGATGGGTCGTGACACTACTCCTGTCGGCGACTCAGTCAAATCTTTGAACTCCTTCAGCAGCTTGGCAATTGTTGGGTCTGTGGAGCTATCATTCTTCTGGCCCTCAGTGATAGGTCTAACATACACCACAAAGACCTGTTCCTCTAACTGCTCCTTTCTTACTAATCGCGCGAACGCGGGAGCACTGAGACAGCAATGCGCCAAGGTGTTATCTACACTGGACGCATGGAACAAGCAAGCAGTCTTCACTTCGCCTGACGGACTAGGGAGCCTACACTCATGCTCTCTCAGATAGAGTGTGGCCCCCGTTGCCTCTCCCCAATCCATTCCTAACATTACATCGAAAGGAAGGTCATCTTGTACGAGGAGAGTCAGGGAATGGAGAACTTTCTCCACCTTCCCATCCTTCTCTAGGCGAAAGTACGCTTGGACTCCCTCTACATAATCCTCAACGCACATTGTGCGGTTGTCTGCGAGAACATTGACTATAGGGTCTATTAACTTCTGGACCTTTAGTCCTAGCCTCGACTTCTTCAGCGCCCTACGGTTGATATAACTACGGGTAGCCCCTGAGTCTATAAGGGCCCCTACCCTACTCCTAAACACCTGTACATCTACCAAAATCAGTTGTCCTTTACTCTCCTTCTTCATTTTGGCCCAGGCTGGCATCCTCTCCTTTAATTCTTCTGCCACACCTGCGAGGGACGTGCCTAAAGAGACGCTTACACAGGCGGTCTCTGGACAGCTATCTAGGCACGGGCCAGCAACCTCTGCCATAGGCTCATGTGGGTTGGGAGTGTCCTGCTCGCGCGCGCTCACTTCTCCACATGGCCTTGAAGTAGGGGCAGTTGCGACCCCTACTGGCGGCTGCCTTTTGACTGCTGGGCAGCCCAACGGGCTTGTCTATACTTTGGACAAAATTTGATAACGTGGGCCGGGTCACCACAGAATACGCACTGGCCCATGTTCATGCGTTCCTGCCATTCCCAAGGCCTGCCCTGTGGCAAGCCTGGGTGCCAACCTCCTTGAGGTGCTCTTCCACCTCTTCGTTGTGGGGACCGATTACCTGGTGATTTGACGGGGGACCTTGACCCCTACCTCCCGCTTGGCGGTTTCCCTGTCCGCCAACCCCCTGTGCACCCGGTCCTCGGCCTCCCATGGCCTGGCCCCTTTGGCCCTAGCCTCCTCCTCCTTGCGGCCTCCCTCCAGCCGCGAGAGCAGCGTAAGACCTCCCCTGCCCCACACTACTGCCATCATCTTCAAGGCCCCACTCAATCTGATCATACGGGACCTCATCAGTACCACCTTCCTCTAACGTTAGGATCATGTGATCCTTGGCCTTTACTTGGCCTGAGATAGTACGATTCTTCCACTTCTTCCCCTTCTCCAGGTGCTTATGCCAGAAAGTGGTAACTGGCACAGACTTTGACTCATAGAGGACGACCTCCCTACTCAATTGATCGTATGTGATGCCGGCCTGCTGAGACTTGTCAAAGAAATGCCCGCGTAGGGCCTCTGGAATGGCACGATAAAACAACTGGACCAGCTGGGGCTCAGTGACCCCGTGGTCCGGGACAGCTACCAAGTCGTCCATAGTACCCTTGAGTGCCTTRGCACTCCTCCACTGYCGKGAGTGGATCGTTYGGAGCTTRTCAGAGGCTCTWATGCCTCKCGTTGGGTCAGCGAAMCGCTCCTTGAGGAGCTTGAGGAATTGGGAAAGAGGAGTGACTTTGGAATATGCAACCAGGTTGTTTTCACAACCGGCTGTACGCGCGAGAKACCTGGCGAAGCTAGCCGCTTCGTCCTTCAGGGCSTGGAAGGCCACGAGGACTTGCTCCTCTGTTAGGATATGCTGCAAGTAAATATAACTGTTGACACTGGCTTCCCAGTTGTCAAAGTTCTCTTCCTTCTTCCCCCCGTACGCATCTGGGAACTTGAGTTTCACTGGGTCCTTACGGGGTCTGGCCTCTCCCTCTACAGCGGCTACAGCTTTGGCACCCTGAATGGCGCCCTCACAAAACTTCCCTACATTATCTCTCAATTGCTTCACTTCGCCCCCAATATGGGTGACGATCTCGCACGCAAAATCTCTAAACCCTGACCGCATGGCACTCAACGCTATATCGTGGCTCTAGCTTGCCTGACGCTCCTCCATCCAGGCCTTGCTCAACACCTCCAGTACTTTGTCACTGCTGCGGTCATCTTATTCACTGCTGCGGTCATCTAAACCCTGACCGCATGGCACTCAACGCTACATCCTGGCTCCATTTTGCTTGGCGCCCCCAATAAGGTACCCCAGTACTTTGTCCCACTTGGCCTTATCGTCTGGTTGGGCCAGCAAGCACCTCCGCTCTACACTCCTGCACCTTTGCCACTGCTGCGGTCATCTTATTCACTTCCTCTATCCTCCTCTTCATTTCCCTCTTCATTCTCAACTTCCATGCTAACTTTTGTTCGTCTTCCCTCTCTCTTCGTTCCATCGGGTCTGTCATGGCTGCTAGCTCAGCGGCCAGCGCAGCCTTCTCATCCTTAGTCACATAGGACTCCGCCTCCTTGTCTTCTCCCAACGAAAAATTAGCGACCCACTCTCTGATCCTCTTCTCCAGCCCTGTATTTGTCTCCCTCGTCATCGTGCCACCACTACTCCCTTCTCCACTCTCAATCCTCATCCTCTCTTTCTCTTCTTCTGCTGTTGCTTCTGCTTCAGCAACTTTTCTTCTTTCTTCCTCCTCCTGTTGTACCCTCTTCATCTCTTCCTCCAATCTCTTCATCTTCGCCGCCTGCTCGTCTGCGATAGCCTTCAGCTTGGCTTGCTTTTCACGCTCTTTTCTCTCCTTGTTCTCTCTGACTAAGACGGCCATCTTTTCTTGCTGCTCAGTGGTGTAGGGGCTAGTCTCCATCCCACTACGGGTCTCAACCATGGTGATAAGTGTACAACCGGGTTAGTGGTTCCAAACCTCACCACGTAGACGTCAACCCCTGACTGACAGACCTACTGACTCAATCTAAGACTCACAGAATCCTGACAGGGATCCTGTCAACTATTGTCTCTAGCCTAGATCTATGCTATGGCTGTCACTACTGAACCAGTGGCTGATCAGGAGGCATTTAAGGAGATCCCCCRTAACTCCTCAAGAATTCTTTAACGTCGCAGACAGGACGACGTGATCAGCTTGGTTCTGCCTGTGCTTTCAGCCCACAACTCAGCCCTTTCCAGCCTGCTGTGCCACACCGAGCAGCCCGCCGGTCTGTACCGGTCCTTGGGAGGGTTCATATCCCCCGGGACAGTCGAGTCGTCAGACACAGATCATCAGCYTTACTTGGTCTGGTAGGGGAGTGGTTCCAACAGGCCCTCAACACTTAACGACGGCCTCCGTTTCAGCCTGCAGCTCGGAGCTCAGACCCTCTACACTGAAACTGAACAGACCTGCCGGACAGTACCGGTCATTGGGCTAGACGAGTTGTTTAACGAGCACCCCACTGAAACTGAACAGACCTGCCGGACAGTACCGGTCATTGGGCTAGACGAGTTGTTTAACGAGCGCTCGCCGCTCATGCCCAGGTCTCCAGATACCAGAATAGAGATTAGTCCTACTAAGTCCAGTGCAGGTTTGGCAGCAAGGCCCTATCCTTCATCCACAGAGTTCTATGACCTAGGACAGAAGAGACTCAAAGTAGAAAGAATAGACAGACAGACTGTACTCAGCAAGTACCAAGGGGTATGTGCACATCCATAGGGCAAGGGGCAGGCTAAGGGCGTGGCGAGATGTTACCAACTTCAGCTTGGTCAAAGTCTTGGTCAACGCCTTGGTCAACACCATGGTCAACACCTTGGTCAACGCCGGTCAATGCCTCTGGTCAACCCTCTCGGTCAACTCCCCGGTCAGCTATGGCTGCCGGCACTTCTT